TGCATCGCTATTCGAAGTGGAAAGCATAGTTAATCAGCTGCTAATACTCATGCTCAGGATTTCGAGACGCTTCTCGAACTTGAAGAGTTTCGACCATTAGCTAAAACTAACCACGGACTAGTAAAACCAATGGTAATCATGACGGTTGATGGAGGGCCAGATGAAAATCCACAGTATCAAAAAGTCATAGGGTTTTCTATACACCACTTTAAGCGACATGATCTCGATGCATTGTTTTTAGCTACCAATGCTCCTGGAAGAAGTGCGATTAACAGAGTAGAGCGCAGAATGGCTCCTCTTAGTCGGGAACTGGCTGGTTTAATATTGCCTCATGACCATTTTGGGTCTCATTTGGATGAACGTGGCGTTGCAGTTGATGAACATTTAGAAACATTCAATTTCAATATATTAGCTGAAGTATGGAGTTCAATGGATATTGATGGCTATAATGTTAATGCAAAATATGTTGGGGCAGGTGAACAAGATCTTCTTGATTTTCCAGACATTAAATGGTATTCAGAACATGTGCGTGAGAGCCAATACTTGCTTCAAATTGTGAAATGTAGAAATACAGAATGCTGTCGTCCAAGAAGTGGCCTATTTAGATTACTAGACAACAGGTTTCTTCCAACACCTGTAAAAGTAAAACAAACAGTTGATGACTTGGTTTTGGATGAAGGAGGGCAATTTCTTAATCTTCTAGTCAATTTAGCTCTACGCTTAAGTGCTTCACTCAAAGATTTCCTGCAAATGCCCTACGATTATTTTTCTCCGACGGTAAAATTGAGGCTATCAAGTCGAACATGCCAAACGTGTGGTCTTTATCATGCTTCCGTCAAGTCACTAAATCGTCACATCGAAAATATCCATAAAAAAGTAAACACGCACACTGATAGGAAAGTTAGGCCTGTAAGAGTCGCTGCTCGTAGTGCTAATGAACTGATGTGCATTATTCAAAATTTAGAGTACCCTGATGTTGAATGGCTCGATGAGAACGACGTAGACATTCCAAAATCCGATGAAAGCGAGCAAACTCACAACACTGAGCAGCAATCGAAGCAATGTCATCGAAAACTTAGAATCATAGATTCGGGTTTCATGGACTGAAGACTGTTAATTTGAATTTAATATATGTACCAAAAATTCAAAATAAGTTTGTTATGTTAGTAAGATATAATATTTGTTCCTTTACTCTATGCTGAATACCGTATCAGTAAAATATAATCTCTATCCTAAATGTATTTTCTTATTTTTCAAATTATAATTATAACGTTATAATTATAATATTAAAAAAACAATACCTTAATTGACAGATGTTTACGTAATAATGGTGGGAGGAGGTATGAGCTTTGCTTACCTTTGCTGACAGGGGGGATGGGGGTTAAATAATTGTAATAAATTTGCTTACGTAATACTTGAACGGCCGCTAACTCAAATTATCGAGTTCTTTTACCTCTTGCAATAAACGTCTTCTAGCTCGACCACCTATTTTTTGTGCAAATAGGACGTTTCTCCGGTGTCATCCTCACTACCTACACCTTAAGCATGCAATTGCTAAATAACAATAATATTGACTGTAGACTTGACAGTATAATTTTATTTTCTCAAAAATGCCTCGTCTTTTTCAAAAATAACGAGGAAATTGTATAAGATTTTTTGAAGTAGCATTTCTTCCAGAGCAAGGCGTCGCGCCAAGTGTACCCGACTCTTGAACAATCATAGAGTCGCCAGGTTCCAATGGGCACAGGAGCGTGTAAATTGGCATCATCAGAGGCAAAATTGCGTGTTTTCTGATGAAACGCACTTCAACCTATACCACTCTAATAACTTTTTATTCCAAACAGGACAGTCAATGCTGCAGTTTATAGGGAAAACTCTTTAAACAATATTGTTGTACCTTTTGTACAAGATTTTGTCTTCATCGATGATAACGCCACGCCGCACACAGCTCGTACGGATATACACTTTTTGGCAGAAAATAACGTTGCACCATTGCCTTTGCCTGTGGCATAAAAATTTCCATAACTAAACGTAATTGAGCATGTGTAGTCTCGGCTAGAAAACTATTTAGTGCGGTCAAGACAAAATGCTCTTCATCAAACAATGGAATAGCTGAATGAGGCCATGCAGGAAGGGTGAGAAAACGTGTCCCGAGAATTTATTAATAACCGTCTAGAAAGTATGCCACGAAGATGCCAGGCTGTGATCGATTGTTTAAAGTAATTGTTGCTGTTTTGTAAAAAGTTCTGGGTAAGACTATACTTTAGCGTAAATCGCAAATACTTCATTTCTTACTTTAAAATGAAAGATTAGGATGTAACTTGCCCGAAAATATCATTTTTTCTCTCAAAGTTTCATTTTTGTTGGTAATACTCTAGAATGGAATACTGTTTTATACGCTTTTTTTCTGCTTTTTGCACAAAATAATGCTCTAAATTATAAGATTATAACATACACTGTATAGTGCTAAGGAAAATAGATGTGAAACTGTGAAAAATCGATATTTTTTTGCAAAAAAAGGTTCAAAATCAGCCGTGTTATTACACATTAGCTTACTAGCTAAAATAACAGTTCAAAATACATACGTAAATGATAGTATTTACTTGGTAAACTGTGTAGAGGTGTTGTGTTGAGATTTTTCAAAGTCTTCTTGAAATTCCTTAACCATTTTTTTTTCGCGTATTTTCAATGACATCAAAGTTTTTGCGTCTATAAGAAATATTTGAAAGTACAAACAATTCTGAATGACCATTTTATAACGTTCATTTCTTGACAGATAAATGTTGTCCATTGTTGTCAAGTTGTACCTTTTTTGGGAGAAATACGTGATAAAAAATGAGGTTATTTGCAAAATAAAAGTCTCAATTTATTGATGGTTTATTTTATGAGAAGTTGACCTAATATTTACCGAACGTGACATAGAAAATACAAAAGGCGTCAGCGGTCATTGCATATAAAAAAACCAAATTTCGATTTGTCGATTTGGACCACCTCGCTAGGTCCACCAACATCGTCCAGCATTATAGTTAAACAAAGATCAACGATCATTTCATCAAATCATCAAAACCTTGCAATGTTTTTTGTTATGTTTTCATTATTTAGTGATAGGCAACAGCTACTTTCTCAGTTATTTCTCAGATATATCACATTTAGGGCCAATTTCACCAACAACATTATTCTCCACCTATAGGGTAACAGACCGTCAAATACAACGAATGAGCTTCAAGTTCCAATCAACAAATTTTAGCAACCAATAGCTATGAAATCTTGAAAACAAAATATTGTCAAAGTATGAGATGACAACTTGTCATTGAAACATATAATTCAGTCAAAATTTAAAGAAATGTTGTATTTTTGAATAACATTCATGTTTTAATTACTATTGTTGATTTTTTATTCATGTTTATATTATTTTCTTCAATTTCTTTGCGATACTGGGTGTTTTTTCCTATAAACCTCTTGCAGATAGCCATTAAGCACCTACTACCTAGGTTTTTTGATATCTATACATCCATAAAAGTTAAATATTTTTCATTGTTCAGGAACTGAACAAATATCCACACTATATTCACAGCGATTAAGAAATTCCCAAATATATGCCTTAAAGCTACCAGCAGACCTAAAACCTGCAAAGAAACTACAAATTTGCCGTATTTTTCTTTTTTCACGAGTACACATTTATATTAGACATTATTTAAATACAGCTGATTATTGCATTTCAAGGAGTGACACATGTGTGGGATCTGTCAACTCTTGGTACCAGTCACAAAACATATACTCTGAAGGTTTAATTCCATGCTATTCAATGACTACACGGTGACTTGTGTGGTAGTCAGCGGCCATTTTGTGAGGGTGCGACAGGGTTGCCAGATTGCGCATTAATATCCCGTTTCACTCTCCTGGTCCCAGTGGAGTAAGTTCCGCCAACTGTTGAAATATACTCTACTATGCTTTATAAGACTATTCGTGACATTTTACCCAAAATCATTGCACAACACTTGGAAAAATGCAAATGAAAATTTAAAATTATTTCCATGACGCCGAAAAATAGCTCCGTCGGTACCTTGGGTTATACATCTTGCCAGTAGGGATGTTCGACACGATCCTTTATTTAGAAGTATCAATACATTTCACGAGTATCGTCATCTTTCGATCCGGACTGTGTCAGAAAGAGTGACTGCCATTTGGCTGCGACATTACCCTGCCAAATCAGACTTATCTTTCATCATTTTCAAAGAAATGGTACAAAATCTTCTTCAAATTTGTGAAGTTAGCGAGTTTCACTTCATACGTTGTTACCAGACATGCCCAAATCATCAGTTGCTGCCGTGATATTCATCCCGACCACTGCACCCCACTGCTAGGCGACCTGTATATTAAACTTGTATTGATAGGGCAGCGGGTTATGCTACAAAGCATGTGACATAGTGTTTGTGCACTGATTGCAACTGTTAGATGGTACCAAAAATATTTTTATATATAGGAGATCTTTCCCATTCCGGATCGAGCAATCTGTCAAAGATGCTTATAATCATGATACCTAGTAAATTTTCACGAAAACAATTCAAAACCGGCAAATCTACAAGATTCATTTCGTACCCTCCACCATGGGACGTGACCATCGTTAGACTTGGCAACCCTGCGAGTGACAGATAGACATTACTAGTTTTATAATTTTTGGACTTAACCCTAGGTCAGTCGCGCGGGTGACAATCGTCACCCACTTTCATTTAATATGCCACTATTTAAATGTTTCAGCTCACTTGGCAACATCGCTCCGAGTATCTTTCATGTTATGATAGATGTCTGTGCCGTCAAATATTTAGTACGGCTTGTGCGTGTTTAGTGGAGATATCGCTGACCAAAGCTGAGTGGTTGACAAGTGTCCCCCGCGCGACCTTCTACGTTGTTAAATTATTATTAAGGTGTTGTTGTACTGTGGCAAAGGTAATTCAATTTTTTATATTTTTTCTCCCTATGCTAAGGTATTTTTGCTTTAGGTATTTGGAAGTAGTAGCAAGGCCATGTCTGAACAGAAAAAAAGAAAAGTAGAGACCAGTAATGATCCCAATGTATGGCTGAAGTGGTATCATGAACTAAGTGATGAAAGTGATCTGAGTGAAAGCTCTAAGGATGAAGATGAAAGTGACAAAGAGGAAGAAAATATACTGACAGAGAGTGAGCATAATACAGAATCGGAACAAGAGGTTGCGGAAAGTGAAGGAGTTGAAAGTGACGAAGACGTGCCTTTAGATTCTTCTAGTTTCTACATTGGGAAGGACAAAATAACGAAATGGAGAAAAGCGAATCCTCCAAGAAATGTGAAAACAAGGTCCCATTATTCATTTACCAGGACCCAAAGGTAAAGCACGAGAAGTGAAAACAGACGTAGCAGCTTTAGAACTCTTTTTAGACGACAATATTCTCAAAACAATTACAGCGTGCACTAATATTTATATAGAGAAAACACGTCAAGAATTTACAAGAGACAGAGATGCAAGGAGTACTGATAAGATAGAAATAAGGGCATTTATTGGATTGTTGTTCCTTATAGGCACCATGAGATGTTCTCGTAAAAATATTCATTTACTATGGGATAACTCCAAGGGAAATGGCATTGAATCATGTTATCTTACTATGAGTGAACAAAGGTTCCGTTTCCTTTTGAGATGTTTGAGATTTGACAACATCAATGACCGTAACATGCGTAAAGAACTTGATAAAATGGCAGCAATTAGGGAAGTGTTTGAACTATTCACCAATAATTTTGAGAAATATTTCTCACCGAGTGAATATCTAACTATAGACGAGCAATTGCTTGCGTTTAGAGGTCGTGCAGCTTTCCGCCAGTACATCCCCAGTAAGCCAAGTAAATATGGCATTAAAACATTTGCTTTGGTTGATGCTAAAACAGCTTATACTATGAAACTGGAAACGTATGTCGGATTAAAACCTCCAGGTCCATATCAGCAAAGTATCAATGCCAAAGATATTGTGATGAGGATTGTGGAACCAGTTCAGGGTACAAATAGAAACATCACAGGAGATAACTGGTTCACTAGTATTCCATTAGTCAATGAACTGCTGACTGAAAAGAAATTAACATACGTAGGTACTCTCAGAAAAAATAAAAGAGAAATTCCTAACGAGTTTCTTCCCCAAAAAGACCGGGATAAATTTACGTCAATTTTTGGATTCCAGGAAAACTGTACAATTGTTTCTTACTGTCCACAAAAGAATAAAGCAGTTCTAGCAGTTTCTACCATGCATCACGATAGTGCAATCAGTGAAGACACAGGAGAATATCAAAAGCCGGATATTATAACATTTTACAACAGTACCAAGATTGGAGTAGATTTAGTAGACCAAATATGCCAAAAAAATAATGTAGCAAGAAATACGAGACGTTGGCCTATGGTTGTATTTTATAATTTATTAAATGTTTCCGCTGTAAATGCTATGATAATTTATAAGCGCAACAAACAAATCGAGGGAAAATTACGCCGAACTGAATTCTTGCAAAGCTTAGCATGGGATATGTTGACACCACAAATAAAACGAAGAGCTTACATTTCCACGGGAACTTCGCCGCAGGTCAATGGTATTGCTGGGTTTGGAACCCTCAACTTCTGTAGTTGAACAAAGAGATCGAAGAGGAGCAAGAGAGCGCTGTTACTACTGCGGAAGAGCACGAGATAAAACAACTAGAAAACTTTGCGCGCAGTGTCAAAATTTTGCTTGCAATGACCACCTAAAAGAAATTTGTGTGCGATGTTACGAAAACAACGACTGAAGTAGTAATTCACAGTTATCTTATGTTTTAAATATATTTTGTTGTTAAAATCAACCTACATTTTATGTCAAGGCTTATAGAGAATATCTTGTTTCTTATTTAATAAATATTTTTGGAAAAATCTTGTATAGGTTGTTTTTTAGGATGGTTGACACTTGTCACCCACGCGACTAATAATGTGCGGATAAGAGACGCGACTAACCTAGGGTTAAAAGACATTATTTGTGAAACATTTTTCATAATTTTTTGTCTTCACATATTATCTGTGTTTTAGGATGGAGAGGACATAATGCTTTTATTGCTTTGAAGAAATGCATTAATCCATAAATCAATAAATGATTACTATTATGTCGTAAAGGAAGATGAGGAATTTGATGGAATGTATTTTATATTCTATTTTCTTGCAAAATACAGACAAATCCACACTATTCAACAGGTATGTAATGATAACTTTCAGTATATTGAAGTTGGTAAATTCGAGAGTGCCATGCATTAACAAACGTCCAAATCCGCTGCCAAATTTAACAGCTAGAAAATAAGCCTATTATTTGCCGCATTCCCATTCGCTGAGGGGGATAACGGATTATTAAATGTAAACCTATAACATATATCAAAATACATGAAAGTTGTCCTACTTTTTCTGTACAAAAGCATCATGTTGGAATCAAAAAGAGGTCTTGTTTATAATACAGTCGAATTTTCACGATTTTATTCAATATTTCAATAGAAATCACTAAATAATATTAATGTTGGTGAAATTGGGCCTGAATTAGGTATATTTTGTGACATCAGCTCCACTTTAAATAATCCTTCAAGTACATAAACACAAAAAGTAAATAGATTATAACTATAATATAGGAAAAACAATAACCGAAGTACTCTTGTGAAGGGCATGAGGCATTCTTCAAAAAAGTGTCTAGCTAACGCGATGGTAGGGTGCAAAGTGGATTTAGTACAGTAAAACCTGCCGGCCACACCTCCAAATCGCATTTTAATGACAATCGTGTGCCGATTGCACTTTTTTGCGCTAGTATATAAGTAAGAATTCATCAAATCAGATTAGGGTATATGACTATCGATGATTTGGCAACATCGCAACTACGAGAGTAGGATAGTGGTGGATGGTGGTGTAGTGATGCGAATATTTATCTAAGATAAAAGAAATTACTACTTAACAATTAACTATTTTCATCATTAAAATAATGCAAAATTGCATTATTGACATGAACAGTATGTTATATTCATATAATTTTGAGCAATCTATTGTGTAAACAAGAAAAAAACAGCTTATAAAGCAGTATTCTATACCAATATTACCACACAAAATGCAACTTTGAAGCTCTATAAACTAGCAAGCTGAGGGTTCCTTAAAGAAAAAATGATATTTTCGTTGAAGGATTTTATATTCTAGGGCTAATTTATTATACAACCTAATACCATCAAACTTTATGAATTTTCGGCAAACAGATTTATTCACTCTGGTATAAGTGTAACTTATATTTATTTTAGCTCTTGTTTCGTAAGCGTGGCTGGTTTTGATTACAAATATCTAATGCTACTACTGTAATATAAGCTATTTGTAATGAAAAATTATTTTCTACTTTTCGGTTCGGTTAGCTATAAAAGCATGTCTTTTTTATTATTTATTATCAATAAGAACAGTCATTTGCATACATACACCATATTCATATAGTTTGGAAAAGCTAGTTAGTATACTGAGGGGGCCTACAATGATCAACCATTAGGAATATAAGCCTCTCCAAGGTCACTGACCGAGGATGCTGAAGAGAGGGGCGAAACGCAAGGGGTGCCAAAACAGGCGAAAGCTTTCTTCGTCCTGGCACTGTCGAAATTCGTGATAAACCGTCCAGCCTGCTCGTTGATGAGAGGCAATTTGCAGCAATCAATCCTAAATAGTACCCGCCGCGGCAGTTTCGGCTGATCTGATTGACCCACTTTTCGTCTCTAACTAACTCTCTTAAAAAATAGAACGGAAACCGCGTCGGGCGGCGATTCGCGAAAATTTATTACTCTCTTTAAGGCGGATAACGCAGGCCAGATAACAGGGACGGATTCCGTGATTTCTATACGCACTGTTGAAATGACTGTCAATAAAATTATCAAGATTTTATTAATTATGAAGCTCCGATGGGTCAAATCATGCGTTCCGCCTTTTCGCTCGACGCCGAGTGCCTGCTAAGTGTCCTCTCCCGGTCGACGCCCCCAATGGGTCTCCCGACCGTCTTTTTATCTGGTTATCTCTTGAAAATAAACAAAAAACATACAAGGGGCCGATTTCACCAACATTAATATTACGGACCAATGGGAAAATACCTTATCGAAATGTAATTTGACGGAAGCTGTCAAAGGTCTCTGAATATCAGTGATTTCTATTGAAATATTGAATAAAATCGTGAAAATTCGACTGTATTATAAACAAGACCACTTTTTGATTCCAACATGATGCTTTTGTACAGAAAAAACAGGACAACTTTCATGTATTTTGATATATGTTATAGGTTTACATTTAACAATCCGTTATCCCCTTCAGCGAATGGGAATGCGGCAAATTCCTAGATCGATTTTCTAGCTGTTAAATTTGGCAGCAGATTTGGACGTTTGTTAATGCATGGCTCTCTCGAATTTACCAATTTCAATATACTGAAAGTTATCATTACATACCTGTTGAGTAGTGTGGATTTGTCTGTATTTTGCAAGAAAATAGAATATAAAATACATTCCATCCAATTGAGGATGAGGATCTTCCTTCACGTCATAATAGTAATCATTTATTAATTTATGGGTTAATGAATTTCTTCAAAGCAATAAAAACATTATGTCCTCTCCATCCTAAAACACAGATAATATGTGTAAGACGTGTCAATCCCTACATCTCCCTGATGCATAATGCAATTACTATGGATATAGACTGTCTATTTTTCTTTTTTGACTGGCGGGGATATCTATCCGACACTCGTATTGTTCGATTCGGAATGGAAAGATCTCCTATTTATGAAAATATTTTTGGTATCATCTAACCGTTGCAGTCAGTGCACAAACACTGTGACATGATTTATAGCATAAAATGATGAAAGATATGTCTGATTTGGCAGGGTAATGTCGCAGCCAAATGGCAGTCACTCTTTCTGACTCATTCCGGATCGAAAGATGTGAAATGTATACTTCTAAATATAGTATCGTATCGAACATCCCTACTGTCAAGACATATAACTCAAGGTACCGACGGAGCTATATTGCGGCGTCAAGGAAACAATTTTAAATTTTCATATGAGTAGTAGAATATGGGCTACTATGGACACCCCCCACCACTTCCACTTTGGCCACGCCCACCGCGTGCTCTGATTGGCGGATCAGACGGCGGGAAATTTGAACGGGGTTGATGGTATATGTTGATTGGCGGGAACCGCTAGATCCACCGCGTGCTCTGATTGGCGGATCAGACGGCGGGAAATTTGAACGGGGTTGATGGTATATGTTGATTGGCGGGCTAGATGCCGCACCCGACCGGAAGTGATTCAGACAGCCAACGATAGTAAGGTGTAGTATAACGTCTATGCGTAAGTGATGTGACTCATTTCATGTTTTGCGGTAAATATTTGCATATAGATCGATAAAAGCCGATGAATACTGGTAATTATAGATGCAATTCTGCGGATTCAGTTTAATTGGAAAAACGTATAAAATTCGCGGAGAACAATGCGTATAGGATGATCTCAATAGTCATCACGTCATATTCAGTGTGCATATAAAAATGGAATTGCTCATATGTGGTGCATACAGTTAATGTTAGTTAATTTTTAACATTGATACAATATTGAAAACATAGTACAGTCTATATTGTGTATCTAATAGATTCCAACAAGGCAATCACCTACGTCGCAAATGAGGTTAGGTTCAGCGCCGGTGTAGTCGTAGCTGTGATATGCAAGAAGTACCGGGCGGGGCTGTCAAGCATGGGTGAATGGGCAGGGAGCGCAGGCTGTCAACTAGTTAATACCGGCCAGCGGTGACCTTGGAACACTGTGGTCAGTTAAAAAGTGGTGGGGGTATAATTGAGATTATAAATACCTATGAATCATCGCAAATTATCTTGTCAGTTAGCTACAGCGAACAGACGTGCTCAGTTCAGATTTAGTCGCTAGTTAACGTTTTAGTTTTTAAAAAAATGGAAAAATTCTTCATCGTTAAGGATTCTACTAAGAAGATTAAAAAATTTAATCTATATGGGCGAGAAGTGGAATTTAAAATACGACCTATCCCTAAAGACGTCGAACCTGTGGGATGGATCAAAGACGCTCTGGAGGAAATAGTAGCCAAAGGAACTGAACATCTCCAGCCCAGTGATCAAGTTGGATTCACTTTCTGTTCCAAAGACTTTACCCGCGGTCAAGGGTGGATAGCTTTTAAATCGTTTTCCGACGTTTCAAATGAGGACATATGGGAGAAGATATCTTCCATCTATCAGTCAAATTCTGTGGGGTTGAATACCGAGACTTTTTGCTTGGGAGTTACGTCCATAAGGTTGCCTGCTGGTCGTGGTAGAGGTCAGAATTTCAATACTTTTGATGAGGAATGCACCAAAAGAAGAGGTATTATCACCGTTAAAAACACCGATAATTTGTGTCTCCCACGAGCCCTTGTCATCGCCATGGCCCATTTGAACAAAGACAAAGATTATAGCAGAATCCGCCTCGATCGAGGAAAAATACAAGGACAAAGAGCTGCACAACTTGTGGAAAAGGCTGATATTGTTATCCCTGAGGAGGGGTGTGGAATACCTGAACTTCAAAAGCTACAACGATATCTGCAAAACTACAAAATTGTTGTATACAAGTTTGGGTGCAAAGGTCGTGACGTCATTTTTGAAGGCGTGTCCACTGGTTCGACGCTTAACCTAATCTATCACGAGGGGCACTACAGCGTCATAACATCCCTCACTGCTGCCTTTTGCTGCAGCTATTTTTGTGAGAACTGCCACATTCCGTATAATAATAAACAAATTCATAGATGTGATAAACAATGTTATGCTTGTAAAAGATCTCCGGCCTGCCTGAAAACGAAGCACATCGAATGCAAAGAATGTAATAGAAGCTTTTATGGACAAGAATGTTTTAACGCTCATTTACCATCGGTCTGTTCTAAAATTAAAAGATGTGTAGACTGTTTTAAAGTTCACAACGGTAATGATCACATCTGCGGACATATACTTTGTAAAACATGTTATAAAAATCAACCAATTGAACATATGTGCTATATACAGCCTGACAGAAGTATTCCAAAATCAAATGATGTCTTATTAATATTTTACGATTTGGAAACCCGTCAGGAGAAGGAATTACCCAACGGATCTTTACTTCATGAGCCAAATCTATGTGTATTCAAACAATGTTGTGAATCATGTACCGATAATCCTATATGCAAGAAATGTGGCCTTCGATTACAGATTCTTCGATGTCAAGACGTCATTTCTCCATTTATGCATCATATTCTGACACTTCGTAAAAATTCAAGAAAGTCATTGTACTGGCGCATAATGGTGGAGGATTTGATCATCAGTTTCTACTTCGTTACATTTTAGAGAAGACTAGTCTGTACCCAAATGTAATTATGAGAGGAACAAAATTAATATTGATGGAGGTAGGAAATGTAAAATTTCTGGATTCTCTCAATTATTTTCCTATGCCTCTAACTGCTCTACCCAAGGCGTTTGATTTGAAAGAGCTAAAGAAAGGATACTTTCCACATCTATTCAACACTTTGGCTCATCAGAATTATCTAGGGCCAATTCCAGCGCTCGACTTCTACGATCCCGGCCATTTAAAAGAAGACACTCGAGAAAAATTATTAAAATGGCATGGCAAAAGACAAGCGGAGGGATACGTTTTTGATTTTCAGAAAGAAATCGTTGAATACTGTATCTCCGATGTGGAAATATTGACACAGGCGTGTCTCAAATTTCGAGACCTGATGAAAACCGAAACCACAGTCGATCCCTTCCAGGAAAGCACCACTATTGCATCATGCTGTAACAAAGTCTTTAGACGCAATTTTTTAAAACCTGAGACGATCGGGGTAATTCCAAAAGGGGGCTATAGATGGCGTGAAAATCAGTCAAAAATTGCCATCCAATGGATGTTGTGGGAGGAACATCAAAGAGGAATCAAAATTCAACACGCCGCTAAGGGTATAGAAACCATTGTTAAGGGACATAAAGTAGACGGTTTTTGTAGCGACACAAATCAAGTGTTTGAATTCCAAGGATGCTATTTTCACGGTTGCCCTCGATGTTTCAAATACAACAGAAGCAATCCTCTGCATAATGATCCGTTGAATACATTGGAAAGTCGATACGAACAATCAGTTAGCAAAGTAGAGAGACTCCGAAGCCTTGGACTAGAAGTAATTGAGATATGGGAATGTCAATTTCGAGGAATGCTAAACGATGAAATTAGAGCCTTCACAGAAGCACATCCATTGATAATCAATTTACCGATTAACCCCAGAGACGCTCTCTACGGGGGACGTACAGAAAATATCGTTGAATACTACAAGATCAAAACAAATGAATGCATAAAATATGTCGATATATGTTCCCTGTACCCCTTCATCTGTAAATATGGAAAATTTCCGGTGGGTCATCCAAAAAAAATTTACGTAGGTGAAGAATGTGTTACAGCCTCTCTGTCGCAGATGTCAGGACTTATTAAATGCCAGATTCTACCGAACCAGAACTTATATCACCCCGTTTTACCGTCAAAAATGAACAACAAATTGATGTTTGTTAACTGTCAAAAATGTGGTGAAGATTTCGTTCGAGAAGAGTGTCAGCATTCTATTCAAGAAAGAAGCCTAAAAGGAACTTGGGTGATAGAAGAGGTGCTCAAAGCTATTGAAAAAGGTTACCAAATTATAGAGACTTAC